GGTTCACTCAGGATCTTTGTCTGGTTAAAAATAAACCCCCTGAAGCAGGACTTAAATTCAATCTGACTTGCCTCTGTGCTAAGGATGGAACTCCCAATAGACCCTGCTGGGCTACTGGAGACAACTTAATAAACAAGACATAAAGAGGCTTGCATTAAGCACCTGTATAGATAAAATAAGGAATTAAAGACATAATTCATAGCGTAATTGCTAGAAATTTCTGGCATGGCAAAAGCAGTGCAGCACACTTCCAATAATTTTCTTTTTCAGTGAATAAACTGAATTTCTTAAAATTAACATTGTTCCCATGCTGATACACCCAGCAACCAACCATTCAGAAAAATCTCTTCAAATAAATAACTGGCAACAGACCTGCCTCTCCTGCGTGTTCTTGACCATAAAAGGATATATTCAAAATACAAGTAATTTGGAAAGGAGAATACATTGGTTAGCTTGTTCTCAAATAAAAACCTGTTTCTTTCAAAGCAAAGCTAGGCAGTGCCTGCCAATTCTCTAACATGCTGCGTGTTAGAGCATGAAGTGAGAAACTTCAACTGAAATATTACTGAAAGGAGGGTTTTGTGGTTAGTAAATAATACCTCCTTTGGAGAATTGTGGGCTGGCTGCTCCTGTTCTTGCTGTAGCAGAGGGATTGACTGAAACACCTCATTCTTTGCAGCAGCATGCTGGCTCTAGATGCTGAGTGAATCTAAGGAGTTGGTGATTGAGGGCCCCTCTGAGGGATGCCACAGCAGCCCAGCATTCCCCTCTAAACACAAGGAGCTGTTTCAGCAGTGCAAGATGATACTCTGCCACTGCCCCGTGAAACAGATTTGCATTGCAAAATCCACCTGAGCCTGACATTGTGAAATCGCTCCCCTGAGCTCCTGGAACCATAAAAGAAGCCCAGCTGAACTGGGAGGGATGAGCCTCGCCCAAGCTACACGCAGCAAACAGCTCCAGGAGCCAGAGCTGGGGAGCAGGAAATGTGTGGGAAAGCCATCTGGTGAAGGCACTCAGCAACAGCGTGCAAGTCTTCCTTCATTCACTTCCTGACAAAGTAGTAATATGTTGCCTCATTATAGAAAGATGACTGCTTGTTATTATTATTTGTATTAGTAACTCCCAGAAGCCCAAAGGTGGGGACAGGACTCTTGCTGTGCTCCCTGCTGTGGGCACATGTAAGAGGAGACCTTTCCCTATACACACTCCCCCATAAAAGGACAGAAGGCATAGGATTGTGGTTTTTGTGTTTTTCTTTTTTCTTTTTCTTTTTTTATCCTTGTGGGGAACTGAAACAGATGGGAGAGACTGAAGGAGCTGGAAACAGAACATGTAATAATTCCCAAGGCTCGACTTTCTCAGCAGAACTGTTCTTTGCCTCCTATACTTCAGCTCTGAGCAGTTCTGGTGAGTGTTTTGTACCCTGGCACACTGCTCATGAGGAGCTCTACAGCCCTCCTTGGTAAACTCAGCATTTAGCTTGGTGTGGACACACTGCTGAGAGCTCCTGCACCCTTTGCTGTGCTGAGGCAGGGGAGGGAAATCAAAGCAATGTGCAGAAGGGATTTTAATCATCATGTAGCAAATTAAAAATACTGTGGAGGTCTTAAACTTGCTCTTTGGCATTTCAGTCATGTCTTTCATTATGTGCTCCCAGTCCAGCCAACCAGATTTTCCCCACGGTTTAATGCTGTTCTAACCTCAGGCAGTATCTTTGTTCTGCTAAAAGCAGAGAACCAAAGGCTGTATTTCAAGAGGAGGCAAAGTTCCTTATAGCCTACTTACTATTATTAGATATTTAAAGTTCTCCTATATCCTTCTCATTGGAAGACCTCAAACCATTTTAAAGACCTTATTTTAGCCTCTTGGTGACAGAGCAAGAGGCAAATTTTTAGATACTGGAACAGACTTAAAAGTCCTATCCTTGAGTTTTCCTTATCAGTCTTTGCTAGAACTGATGAAGGATTTTTTCAGTCCCAGGCATCAATTGCAAGACAGAGCTTTCCAGATCCCCTTGCTGTCCTTGTGTGGGTGTGTGTGCTTGGCTGGTTGGCATTAGTGCCAGGTTTAGACAAAGTGAGTATGTGTTGGCTTTTCATCTCTGGGGAAGGCAGAGTTTAAAAAATGTCCTAAGGACTAATTAGTTGGTGAAAGTATGGCAGCAGCAGGAGGGAGGAGGGGCAGGATGAAGGAGATGGTGGCTGCTGCCCTGCTTTGATATAAAAGAGGCTGAAGCCCAGGGAATCCAGAAGAAACAAGGACCATGTGGGCTGGCAGCTCCTGAGGCTGACTGTCATTCAACACACAGAGCCTAGTGCCAAGGGGATATCTTCTCCAGGAGTGAGATGATCAAGTCTTGTTAAGTGGGGCCATGAAGTGCTAATTGCTAAAAACTGTAGAAATTCAGATTGGAGCCAGTACTTTCTAATGTAGAATGACTCTCAGAGAGAAGCCTGTCTTTGTGTCCTGTGAGTGAAGCAGGATATAGAGTGTTGGATGGGGCAGACTTGAGGCTCTGAATAAGTCTTTCATCACCTTATCCCAGACTTCTCATAACCCTCTGCTCCCAAACAACCCACGGTGACACAAATGCAGAACCAGGAACACAAGGAGGATACCAGCAACACCTTAAAGGTCACAGAAGCTGTAACAGCACCTCTTTGTAGGGCTTTTCCTCTCCCAGTGCTCAGTTCATGATCCCAGGAGAGATTCCAGCCTATGGCAGTATGGCTGTGGGGGAGCACATCCATGCAACTCTTAGTCATCCCTTTTATTAATTGGAAACCTAAGTGGTAACAGGAGCCAGAACTACAGGGGTGCAGGGTTTAGGCAGTGTCACTGCCTCAGGGATTACATGTGTAACCTCTTCAGAACAAGAGACCACACACATGAGACTGCAAATACACTATGGAGCAGCAAATATGGAATACTAAGGAGCCAGGAATCAAGTGCTAATATAATGCTGAGATTTTAAAAAGCCTCAGCTAAAGCCCTTAGAATGGCAACAGATTGTTCCTCACTCTCTTTCAATTTGTCCAGGTTTTCCTGACTGTGGGAAGACTGTTTACACCCTTGCTATATCCACTGCTGTATTTGAGTTACTGGCAAGTTTTGGCCAGGTGACAAACTCAATGAGCACTGAATCGTGCCTCGGCAAACATCAGCTCTGTCTCTATCAGAGCTCATCTGCATTGGAGAAAAACTGTCCTCCAAGCTGGGAGCAGGGCTGGGCTGCAATGGGAAGGGCAGCACCAACACTCAGCATTTTTGAATGTGGCAGCTCTGAAGTGGGTCAGTGAGGACCATTTCTGGCTCTAATAGGGAGTTAAGGGAAAAGCCCATGCTTGGACACCACATGCTGTAGACTTAACTGGGTGGTTCCTCTGACAAGGCTTTGTGGAGTGGCTCTCTGAGCATCTGGCTGTGAGAGGTTCCTCTAGCACAAGTATCATGCGAGGGTAATCCCATGTGGTTTAAAAACCCAAAACAAGCTGTCTGATTTGCCTCTCCTATCTTCTAGTCTGTTCTTCCAGTTCATGCTTATGCTGGGACAATAACAAATCTTACATTGCCCAGCCAGTGACAGAAATCATACACACACAGAAGGAGCCAAGTTCTTAGCCCTGGATAAGAAACCTGACACAACACAGGGCTTGTGCAATCTTGGGTGGAAACTCTCATCCACGGTGTATGTGGAATATGCTCTGTCCAGAGAAAAGGTGAAAGATCTGTCCTCACTTGGGACACATTGCTTTAAAAACACAGATAAACTTAGCAGCATTCCTGAGCTAAGGAAGATCAGGTCTTTTGGGGTTTTTTTCTCTTTTCTTTTTAAAGCCAGTTAACCAAATTGGAGTAAGTGACTTTTTAAATCCTTGACAAGAAAATCTACAGTGGAATGATTTCCTCAAGTGTCAGTACAGAGTGTCATACCCAACAATAGCTCTTCTCACCTCCAGAGGCACAGGACAACTGCACACACAGATTCAGTGAAGACCTGTACATCTGGCTCTCTTTAGAGTCCTCTGATCCTAGTGTTGTGGTTGAGGTGTCCACCCTCCCATAGGCAAAATCCCTCTGTCAGCCCCAGAGACTCAACCCTGACAGAATTTAGTCTGAGAGATGTTCTTCCAGCATGAGGTGGGCCACTTCAGCCTGAATCTCTGTGTGTGTGTTTTTGTTCTATGCTATTTTGGGAATAAGCAACAGATAACAAGCAAATGCTTTCGTCTGCTGGAGTAACTGTGTTCTCAAGCATTAAAATTATGGTTTGTACTAACTGTCCAGTGGGGAGGAAAAAAATCAAGGCTCTTAATTCCAGAAGACAGGTTAACTTCTGTGGGAAGGAGGCAGAAACTGTTAAGTCTTTTGCTGTCAGAAAGAAACTCATGCTGCAAGTATTCAGTCAATTAGGCTGATTTGTAGCAGCCTCACTATAAATCCTCTTTCATTCAGAGGCAAGTTAAGCTCTTTGATGAAACATGGTATTCCAAGGAATTTCAGTAAGTTCTCACACATCTAAGCATGGCAAAGTTATCTGTAGTGACACACCATCTGAGAATGACATGGTATGTTCAGTTCTACAACATTACAGCCAATGTATCTCAAAAAATGGGAGGCCTGCAAAAAGCTTCACCCCCACTGTTGCAGATTAGCTTTCTTCTGGCATGCTACATTTGTTCAGCCTATTAGTAAATTAGAAACAGATTTTCTAAATCAGTTCTAGATACAAAAACAGTTGAGAGAGACAACTATGCAGTAAATGACCACTCAACCCAGATACACAACTGTTTCACCAAAGAAATGCATCACTCCTTAGAGGTGTAAAATCTGTTTAAAGGCAGCATGTCTTATTACCACACCTGTATAACACGACCAGAGGCAGAACTGTTTGCTTCCCTGGAAGCTGGAGCTTCCCCACTCCTTTGCCCCAGAGGGGGGTGACAGCACAGCTGTCACCCTGTCCCGTGCCCAGCTGTGCCACCCAGCTGACTCACCCTGCTGAGCTGGTCCAGGAGTCTTTGGTTCTGCTCGGAGAGTTCCTGGACAGCGCGCGTCTTCTCGCGGTCGGCTTCGCGCAGGTGGACCTGCTGCTTCTCCAGCTCGTCCTGCAGCTGCTTCACGTCGCTCTCCAGCTCAGACACCCTTCCTTCCCACTCTCCCTCCTTGTTCTCAAATCGCCGCCGCAGCTCGTGCTTCTCCTGTTCCAGGTGCTGCATGATGGGGGAGAAGAGGTCAGGAAGGGAGGGAAAAAAGGTGAATGTTTCCTTTTCCTCCTCTATGCTAGGGCTAAAACCTCGTGCAGGAAAGAGGATGGTGCTAGAGCATGACAATGCCATGGAGATGACAATTCCACATCAGGGCAGGCCACTGGCACTAAAGCCATTTTCCGTTTCCAGCAATAGGCATGTCCTTGGCCACTGGAGTTCAGCACATTGAATTTTTACTGAAATAACTGCCAAAAGAGTAAAGTAGGCTGCATGTCAATAGGCGAGATATATAGGTCAGACAGAGCAATTGATTTAGCAGAGCCCAGCTTAACTCCAAAGCAATATTTCAGTGGTCAGTAGCATTATTTTTTTAAAATTGCCTTTATAGTCAAAATACACAAACTGTATACCCTTACTGTTGGTGAGGAATGTAGATGAGGCATCCTTGCTGTCATATGGGTCTCATGAACAACAGTTGAATCATCTATCCATTTGCTCTTTCTATTCCTGACCTAATTAGTTGTCTGAGAGTTTGATAGTGCACAGTAACTCCATTGTTTGATGCAGCCTGCTCTGGAATGGCAACGGATGCAATGAACTGGTTGCTATAGACATTATGTATGTCCATGTTCTGGGTTCAGGCTTCTTAGAAACCACTCTCAGTTCTGGAGACTCTGCTCTGCTTTGGATTGGCTGGAAAATGAGGGACAACACAAACTGGTGAAACTTTTGCATGTTTTACAGGCTCAGTTAAATGAGGGCTTGATTGAAACAGAGCTGCAAATCAGGTCAAAGCAGATTTATGTTGTGCCCATTTGAAAGAATCCCTGCTCCAAAACCCTGAGCCTGAATTTCCCTTGGTGGCTGAAGACACACATTTACTTTCAGAACAGTCACAGATTGGGGACATGGGCATATCCCAGGATTAGCAGGGAAACCTGAAAAATGGGAGTCCTCTCCTTGTTGGTTGCCCTCTGATCCCCAGAATAATCTCCTGCTACTCTCTATTAGATTCCCCAGTCTTTAATGAATGTATCTTAGAAAAGAACAGAAACCCACTGCGCCAAACACTGGTGCACTTGCCTATTTCTCCCAGGTGAATTGTTCCCTAGTGAACAATTCCCATGGCACTTCTGATAGGAGGGAAAAATAAACCTGCTAGGTGGAAAAGAAAATTGCACTGCATTTATGTGAAGTGGCTTTTTATTGCTTGTTAGAAACACAGGCTGTGAGGGGGCTGTTTCCCCTGGGTGCCTATTGCTGATGACACACAGCCTCCCTGGCAGGGTCCGTGTCACCTTCCCGAGCAGGTCTGAATGTCAAAACCCTCCAGTACCTCTCCAGCTTCTGGCCTGTGTATTGCTAATCTTCCACCCTTTTTTTGCTCTGCCACACAGATGCCATGTTTTCTCTTTCTTCACCTGATCCCCAAATCCTTTCCTATGCTCCCTCCAGCTCAGTGTAGCAGCATGTTGCTTGTGCCCTTCAAAATCCTTCTGCAAATTCCAGACTTTAATGAAAAACCCTTAAATATGGGGGAAAGTTGATTAAAAACAGTGGCCCATAGTAGGGGACTTCCCCATGTTTCAGCCACTAAAAGAATGAGCAGCCTTGCAAATGAGAGCTAAGCAGTAATATAAATATTTTAATGCAATAGGTAGGCATGAGATCCCAGCACCTGGCCCCTGACAACCATTGCAAAGAAATCCTGTTTGCAGTCCAAGTGTGGCTGGAGCAGCCACAATTTCACTTTCAGCGGCACACTGAAAATTCTGTCTTTTATAGCTCTGCCTCTTTCACTGCTAGGCAACGTTTAGAAAGATCCAGGGCCTTCTCTAAATGGAAAGTGGAACTTCAGCCTGCTGAGAAGCAGCACTGCAGCTGAAGTGCCCCAGACACCCAAATGTGATTTAGAAGCCACTGATAAGCCTTGTCAATCATTTAAAAAGCACTTTAGTCTTTCACTGCAAAAGAAAATCTCCGCTACACACAGCCTCAATAAATGGCCATCACAAAGGCTGGCGTTGGAACAAGGTGAAGAATATGAAGTTTATTCTGTGGTGACAGAGAAACCAGAACAGAGCAGGGGGGCACGGAGAGGCTGCTGCAAAGAGGAGGAGAACCCAGAGGAGATGTGTTGACTGGTCTTCCTGCTTGTGTCAGCTGCCCTCACCCCAGCACCTGCAGGGCTGCAGGTCTGGAGGGGGGATTTCTGCACGTAGTGCTGATAGAGCAAACTGCTGTCCTCAGTAGGAGAGTTTCTTGTTTCTTGAGTGTCTCTCCATTCACCAGCTGCTCATTGATTTATATACAAAACTGCTTTCTAGAAGATGTTTTCTTCTGAAAACAGCTTCTCTTCAACTTAACTGAGCTGGGCTGGTCCTCCTCTGAAGAAACAAAAGCAAGGGGGAGTTTCCCAGCTGATAAGGAGGGTTCATACTGTAAAATGCTGGGACACAGCAGGCTCCTCTGTGTCAGAGGAACAGCACTATTAACTGTTTTAATCCCTTAGAGAGGATAAAACTGTCTAGGATCACATATCAGAATTTATTACAGAACTTCAATTTCATGATTAGAAATGAATTTAAATTCAGGCTGTGAAGTGCCAGAGTAGGTATATGGCAGGAATGCTGCACCTCAGCAACAAACCCACTAAACTAGAACACATTTAATCTTGAGGCAAAGCACCCAACGAGCAGACCAGTACCTTGGCTGTTGTGAAATGGAGAGGCTTCACTGAGCTCTTGTAACCAATTCTGAACTGTGAACTGGGACAAAATATCTCCTTTTAAGTGCTAAACATCGTTATATCAGGATGCCACCAAGGATCTCATCTGAGACTTTGCGTTGTGTCTCCGTCAAAAAGTTCTCAGCTTAGGGAAGGAGGGAACAGCTGTGGGTCCTTCCTCTCTGCTCCTCTGAAATTGAAAAGCTTATTGTGAAATTTTATTCACTTCAGTGGCAACAGGAGGAGGCCGAGATTTAATCTGCAGAGGCTGGGATTATCAAGCTTGTGTTTTAGAAGATTAATGTTGAAATTTGATTTTTTGTGTGAAGCAGCACTGGGTTAAATTTGCCAAAACCAGTGGAAAAAAAAAATGACCCTAAAGTAGATAATACTAACTCCTCTCAAATGGATAGCCTGGAAAATAGCAATCTGTTATTCCACTGGGAAGTTAGGGTGATAGTGATGGGATGAAAATATGTAAACAGTCAATATGTAAACAGTTGTATTTACAATCTCTTCATTTACCTTCTGAATGGGCCTGTGAGAGCAGAGGTAAACATTTGTGGGATGTTATTTAAAGTACTATAAAGTCGTAGTTTCTCCCCTCTCCTTTTCACCTCTACATTTTGCAAGCAGTGAGTGGTATTTGAGGCCCCTGAACTCCCTAAGAGGCAGCTCACTGGGTACCTAAACTTGTGTATTTTTCCTTTAAAGGTAGGAAAGGTTCTACTCCAGCTCCTAGGGAAAACCATGTCAGCACAACACCACATATGTCTGTTCTTACTTCAAAATCAACCTGGAAACATTCACTCTGGCAAATTTTAATACTCTGGGAAATTCTCATCTGATAAACAGAACCAATAAGCAACAAATTGAGCAAATGTCACCTTCACTATTTTTTATTAAAATAGCAAAGGCAGAGAGATTCCCTTGCAAAAAGGAAGGGATCAGCTGGGGTAAATGACAAGCTTAATAAGAGAGAGGAATTTTTGTCAGGAGAACAAAGGGCATACAGTAATTTCACAAATCCTCTTGAACTTGAGAAATGTTAAGTCTGTGAGGAAGGAATACAGGAATATGCAAGACTGTGCAGAAAGAACTGGTTCAGGGCTGTGACTTGAAATGTGAATGTTAATCCAGCACTGTTCAAACTCTCTCCAGAAAGGTGAGAAAGGCTTTCTTTAGCCTTCTAAGCAGTATTACTTATTGGAAGAAATACAATTTCGAGAGTACCTGTGAGGAAGAGTGAATAATAGTGGTTCTCTCACAATTGTGCAAGAGAGTCGTTAAAAAAAAAAAAAAAAAGCTGCCTGCACAAGTCCTGTTCTTTGTAATAGCTCTATTTTATCTTTAAAAATCAATAAATAGCTCAATCCCCCGAGTTCCTGGCAAACAGCTCTCTCCAGATACCTGTAAGCATTTTTTAGAGCAAACGGCTAACAGCGATGTATCATTAGGGCTTATCTCCTGCCATGCCTAAAGCCTTAGCTGCAACAGCTTAAGCATAAGGGTCACATATGCTCTGTAGCTCAGTACCTGCTGTGTAAATTTAACTCCCGAGGTATTTCGGTGGCGGGATGAGCCGCGCTCATCCTTCCCAGGTGGTCCTGGGGCAGAGGAGCCCCCCAGGAGCCTCCGGAGCGCGGTGCTGCAGCCCGGCCGCGGCCCCACGCGCCGGCTCTGGGCCGGGGAGCGGGGGAGAACGGCAGCTCTGCCTCCGCCAGGCCTCGCAGGCACTGCTCAGAGCCCTTCCTCCCCGCCACGGCCACAGCGAGTCCCGCGGGCTGCTCGGCAGGGCCCGCGCGGCCGGGGCGGGCGGAGCGCGGCGGGGCCTCACCTCCAGCTTGTCGGTGAGCTCCTTGTGCATCCTCTCGTACTGCCGGCTCATGTCCTGGTTGCGCTCCAGCAGCGCCTTGCCCAGCCGCGCCGCCAGCACCAGGTCCTTCTCCTTCTGCCGGATCAGCGAGAGCAGCTCGGGGTCGCGGGCGGCGGCGGCGGGCGGCGGCTCCGGCGGCTCCCCGGCGGCGGCCAGCAGCGCCAGCTCCTCCTCCAGGGCCAGCTCCAGGGC